AGTGTAGAATTTCTAATGGTGAGGGTTCCATGTCTAATTTTCTAAGAATAGTCAATAGGAAAGTCCTATGGCTAGACCTTAGGCTACTAAAGATGAAAAACTAAACCTCAATTAAAAGTGAGGTCAACTGGCCCGTTCAAGTTGTTTGGGTTAATCTGAGTTATGTAGGGTTAACCCAAGCTAGTTTGAGTTGATTTGGGGTTAAATCAAATTAAGTTGGGATAATTTAAGGAGTTTAAGTTTATTTGGGATTAACAAAAGTTTGGTCGAGTTAGCCAAAATTTATTTGAGTTAATTTGGGGTAACTTGAGTTAGGTCGCGTCATCTCAAGTTTTCTTTAGTTAATTTGGGTTAACCTAAGTTAGGACAGGTTGACCTAAGATTTTTTAGGTCGGTTTGTGTTAACTCGTGTGTTTGATTTGGGTTAACCAGAGTTAGGTCAGACTGACCCATTGCATTTTTGTTTGACTAGGCCTCAATCAGGTTAAGCCTAGGGTAGATTTATATTTTAAGTTTGAATTTGGTTAAGTCAGGCACAGGTTGGACAAGACTCGAGTGGGATTGGGATAAGCTTAAGTCTAGTTTTGGTTAGGCCCAGCTAGGGTTGAAGTTAAATTGAAGTAAGCCTGAGTTGGGTGTGACTTATGTTACTTTAGATTCAATGTCTCGGTTGAAGATGGTCTAGGTTTTGCTTGACCTAAAATGAGATTGGAATTAATGTTGAGTTGAGTCAAGTCTAGGTTAAACAAGTCCTAGGCTAGTTCCTAAGGTTAGGTTTAGTTGAAGCAGAGTTTGGCTTCGATTAGGTCTTGATTAGATTTGGACCAATATTAGGCATGGAATTACTTAAGTTGAGCTAGGTCTAAGTAGGGCTAGACCTAGGTCAATCATAAGTTTGAATTGGGTTTGCTTAGATCTAATTTGGGTTAATCCTAAGTTGACGTTAATTAGGTTCAATTCATGTCCACTTGAGTTAGATCTAATTTGGGTTAGCCATAACCAATTTTGATCGGGTTGGGTCCATTTGAACTAGACCTAGGTTTCTTAAGGATAACTTCATTATCAAATGTATAATTATGATGTCTCTAGTACTTTCATTAAGCTAGATTACCTAAGTTAAATTTTTGGGTTTAACTTAGATTTAAGGATCAAGTTGGGCTAAAATGCAAAATTTTAACTTTTACACATTTATCCCTAAGCTTAAGTCTAGTTTTGGTTAGGCCCAGCTAGGGTTGAAGTTAAATTGAAGTAAGCCTGAGTTGGGTGTGACTTATGTTACTTTAGATTCAATGTCTCGGTTGAAGATGGTCTAGGTTTTGCTTGACCTAAAATGAGATTGGAATTAATGTTGAGTTGAGTCAAGTCTAGGTTAGACCAGTCCTAGGCTAGTTCCTAAGGTTAGGTTTAGTTGAAGCAGAGTTTGGCTTCGATTAGGTCTTGATTAGATTTGGACCAATATTAGGCATGGAATTACTTAAGTTGAGCTAGGTCTAAGTAGGGCTAGACCTAGGTCAATCATAAGTTTGAATTGGGTTTGCTTAGATCTAATTTGGGTTAATCCTAAGTTGACGTTAATTAGGTTCAATTCATGTCCACTTGAGTTAGATCTAATTTGGGTTAGCCATAACCAATTTTGATCGGGTTGGGTCCATTTGAACTAGACCTAGGTTTCTTAAGGATAACTTCATTATCAAATGTATAATTATGATGTCTCTAGTACTTTCATTAAGCTAGATTACCTAAGTTAAATTTTTGGGTTTAACTTAGATTTAAGGATCAAGTTGGGCTAAAATGCAAAATTTTAACTTTTACACATTTATCCCGAGTACCCTAACTTCATTCTTTGATTTTCATACGTTAAAATTATCATTTTAATATTTGGGGTTAATGTCATAAATTTCTTTTTAATTTCAATTTTGATTCATACTTTTTTTTATTTCATATCTCATAATTAGTTTTCAAAATAATTAAAAATTTTAATGGAAATTAAACTTTTTATTGTTAGTGAGATCCCCTCACTATGGAAAAAATAGTAAATGTCCCTAATGATAGAGGAAACAATCTCTAAAATTTTCATATTTTCATGCCTTTTATTATATTTTTAGTAAATAAAATACTCTCAATAGTATTTAATTAATTTAAAATTAATTTTAAGTTAATTATATTTGTTTTTAATATTATTATTTTCTCCTCCATTCTTTGAGCTTAGAGGATTTTCAATTTTAAATTGGTGATTTTTCTTAATAAAGTTATGATTTTTTAGAGTTTTTTAAGTATTCTCTAGATTTATTTAAATAGACAAATAGAAATTTTCTACTTAAGTGAGTCAGCTTTGCGTCATTATTTGTATCGATTGAATATTCATGCATCACTTTCTGATTAACAAGGCTTTCCACGTGGCTGTTGAGGTGGTTTCGATCCAGTGCCCTTCTCCCCCATGATTCTGTGGTCAAGTTTGATCTTTATCGTCTGTTTCTAATACATGAAAATAGATGACATCGGTTCATCTTCTCAGTGAGACAAAGGACTAAGAGATGTTTGTAATCAAACCTAAAGATCTCGGCCTACACTTAATTAAATTGCATAATGTTTGTTCCTATAGCTTCATCTAAATGAGAGGAACTTATCTATACGATTAAGTGGATATGCATTGTTTGTTTTCTTGACAAAAGGTCAAACCGAGAGCTATTTTAAAAAGTTTGAACCCATACCTTATCCCATGAGGTGAGGCCTCAACTGGGCTAGACAGAGAGTGTCACCTTGAGCTTAAAATGGGGCTATGGTTTGGTGTGGGATTAAGATAGAGGCCATGGGAAGGCTTATTTTTAATTGGGGAGAGTTGACCATATTTTTTATGAGGTCAAATTCTTCTCTTTAGAAACCTAGGATCTAGCTTTAGGACTTTTCTATAGACTATCTTAGAAGAGTAGTGAGGAAATTCACATCGCACATAGAAATTCTAAACAATTCTTGACTCCTGTTGTGAAGTCCCACATGAGTGGTCATAAGCCACAAAATGTCATTTGGGATGGCTAAGAGCAACATGAGGAGACTCAAGAGTGAGTTCGTATAGGTTCAATCAAGCCTTAGGACAACCCTGTGTGGCTCAGGTTATTTCTCACACACACCTACACACACTTAAACTCATCAAATTCCCCGCATACCTAATACACCTAAAATATATAGTCTTTATGTACATAATTTTATATCTATTCTTGAGATATTGTGCTTTAATGGAAGTTATTTGCGTGTTTTTCTTTCAATTATTATCAAATGGATGAAAAATAGTGAAAAGAGTGAACCATGATCAAATTTGGAGAAAAAATGAAAAAGGTGTGCAAACAAACTGTGGCTCCCAAGCACTCAGAATTGGTGCTTACGCACCAGTAAAACCGAGAAGTTCACGCCTAAGGGTCATGTACCTTGCGCTTAAGTGCCGAAAGTGGTTACTCAATGATTCAATGAATTTGGAAAAAAATTTAAAGAGGCATTTGAAGCAACCCTTGGTGAAAATATGGGGAATAGTTAATGGACATGAAAATACATTCAATTACCTTTTGAAAGGAGGAAACTTTTGAAAGATTTATTGAATGTGGACACATTTTGAAGAGACACCAAGGGAGCTTTCGGAAAGTTGTAAAACAATACTTGAATTGAAGAACTCTCTCTCTCTCTCTCTCCCTCTTTTTTCTTCTTTTTGAGAGACTCTTCTACACACGCTGCCGCCCGCTTTTCCTTTTTATTTAGTTATAGTTTGTATTGTAAGGGAAGTAAAAGATTCAAAGAAGCTTCAAGAGTTTGGTGGAGAGGATTTGAGATAATTTTTTATCATTATGACTACATTTGGTCTTAATTTAGACTTCTTGTTTGTTTGCATGATTTCTACTTTTAAACCTAAGTGTGGTTGTGTTTTCTTCATGAATTTTGTGTAGTTTTCTTTATCTTTTTTATTAAAAGGATAAGTGATTAAGTATTGGTTGGAAGTTGTGTGTCGTATTAATCTTTAGTATTGGAATAAGTTATGATAATTTTTAACCTTGTACTTCATTTGCTTCTTGATTTGACCAATTAAGATGTTAATATTTATTGTTAGAACATGTAAGATCCAAGATGGTACTATCTTAGTCAACTAATAGGAAGAATCACATGAGATTATATGGATGAGAATGTAATTCCTATGATTTAGTGCAAATAAATAGGGAAATAAACTTTGAAGGTTGTAGAATTAAAGGACTTTGGAGTGACAGGCTAAAGCCCCCAATTTTGTTTATAGTTTTATGTTTTGATACAAGATGTTAGCCCTCAGGTGGAGGGAGAAGAGTGAGCTCTGGGGTGAGAGCTTGTATCTTCCTTAACTAATCTATCTTCAAGTCTATTCAAGTTTTAAATTAGCCAATAAATTAGCCAATGTTCTTTATAAATTAGCCAATGTTCTTTATAGAATCTCTAATACGGGTAAAGAATATTATTGTTCATATTTGACACAACATAATTGGAATACTTTCACAATAGAATTTTTGTACTTGTTACTGATTCATGATTAGAAAATGATATTTTTTTATATTGCCTTCATTTTATAAATGTCTAGTTAAGTTTAGTTAGTTGTTTACTTT